AGGAACATCTGTAATATATTCGGAAGGAAGGAAGGAAGGAAGGAAGGAAGGAAGGAAGGAAGGAAGGAAGGAAGGAAGGAAGGAAGGAAGGAAGGAAGGAAGGAAGGAAGGAAAAATAATCTAATCATCTACCTTAAGAAGCTAGGAAAAAAGGAACAAATCAAGCCCAAGTATTATGCAGTAAACTATAATCAAAATCAATGAAATAGAAATAGAAGACAACAGAGAAATATCAATGAAAAAAAGTTAATTATTTTGGATGAGCAACAAAATTGATAAAAGTTTAGCAAAACTAACCAAGAAAAAAACAAAACAATTATATAGAATAATTTGTGTTCTAGATGTTTATATCAATTTGGACATATCATAAGACTAAGTCAAATCTAAAGAAAGCTGTTGAAAATATTATAAAATATATGCAAATCAAGTGGAAAATTTAGATATAGGCAAATTCTTCAAAAAAACAAATTTACCAAAACTAAAGAGACAAGAAATCTGAATACTCTGATACTTACTAAATACATTAAAGTCAAAATTTAAAATCTTCCCATAAAGAAAACTCAAGGCCTGGATAGTTTTACTGGTAATTCTTTCTAACATTTGAGCAGGAAATATTACTGATATTGTATAAACTCTACCAGAGATTACAAAAGGAAGAAATCATTCCTAATTCATTTTATAATGCCCGTAACCCTTGACACCAACACTTGACAAGTCATTCATAACAACTATTACCTCAAGGACTGAGACACATACACACACACACACACACACACACCCTTTACAAAATAGGAAGAAATTGAATACAGGAAGAAATAAAACAGTATATCATATCCAAGTGGGCTGTATCCCCAAAATGAAAGGGGAAATCAAAATTTCAAAAAAGGAAAAAATGTAATTCACCAAGTGGTTCATTACAAATGAGAAAACCATACGATCATTTCAATAGACACAGACAGATTCTGGATTTATAAATAAAATCTCAGCAAACTAGAAATGCAAAGAACTTTCTCAATCTAATTTTTAAAAATATATAAAATGTTTATAGCCAACATTATACTTTAGGATGAAATATTGAATGCCATTTAGATTGGGCACAAGACAGGATGGTTGTTCTTTCTAATCGACACTTTGCGGGAGAGGTCCTAGCCAGTATAGCAAGTTAAGAAAAGAAAACATAAGGCACAAAGATTGAAAAGAAATAAAAACGTCTTTATCTATAGATGTGACGGTATATATAGAATAAATTCATAGAAAATCCTAAGCAATCTTTAAAAACCCTGATAATAGCCCAGCTGGTGTGGCTCAGTAGATTGAGCGTCATCCCATGGACTAAGAGGTGCTGGTTCAATTCCCGGTCAGGGTGCATGCCAGGGTTGCGCGCTTGATCCCCAGATGGGGGACATGCAGGAGGCAGCTGACTGAGTGTCTCTCTCACACCAATGTTTCTGTCTCTCTCTCCCTTCCACTCTTTCTAAAATCAATAAAAATCTTGACAGAACACAAAACATGTATCCACATGTATCCTCCTGTCCTGACTGGTGGGGCTCAATTAGTTGGAGTGCTGTCCCAAGCACTGAAGGGTCATGAGTTCAATTCCTGGTCAGGGAACATATCCAGGTTGAGGGTTCAATTCCCGATCAGGGTGTATATGGAAGGCAACCTATTGATGTTTCTCTCCCTTCCTCTCTCTTTAAAAACAATAAAAACTTATCCTTGGGTGAGGATTTCAAAAAACAAAAACAACTTGTATCTTCCTAAAGAGATCTCATTTCAAACCTACTGGAATGGCTAAAATTAAAGACCGATAACATCAAATATTGGCAATGATGTGAAGCAACTGCAATTTGCATAATTTGCTGGTGGGAGTATAAAAATGATACAATCACTTTGGAAAAGTGTTGGGCAGTTTCTCATAACATTAACCATACGCATATCCTACAACCTAGCAATTCCATCATAGGTATCAATCCAAACGAAGCAAAAATATATGTCCATTACATAACTTGACAAGAATATCCATAGCAGCTTTATTCATAATAGTTCAAAACAGGAAACCACCCAAATGTCCATCAAGAGAAAAATAAAGTGGTATATTCATATGGAATTCCACTCAGCAATAAAACATAAATTACTAATATACACACCACAGTGGATGAATCTTAGATATTTGCTGAATAAAGTATATTTTATGAGTCCATTTCTATAAAGCTCTAGAAGAAGTAAAACCTACCGATAGAGATAAAGAGAATAGTGTCCCAAGAGGTAAAAGTGGGGTTAGCAGGAACTGACTTAGATACAAGAGAAAGGAACTTCCTGGAGTGACAGAAATTTTGTGAGTTATTTAGGTATAAGATGTTCTCATCAAAAACCCATTAAGCTGTAATTAAGATTTATGCATTTGACTATATGTAAATTATAGCAATAAAATAAATGCTTCCCTCAAAATAAATAAATAAATAAATTCATTAGAGGTGACTGACAAAATTTTGGCCGGTCTAGGTAAACGTGGACATGCATCTAGTCACATAACTCTTGAATGAGAAAGCCAGATGGGAAGTTTATTCATATATCAAACTCTGAACCTTCTTATGGAGACACTAGAAAAAATAACAGTAAAAATATTCTAGCAAGCTTCACATAAAAAGTGATACAGCTACACCAATTTTAATTTTTTTTAATAAAAGCAAAAGTTAAAGCATACTGTTGAATTATAATTCTGACAAATGGAACCAAGATTTTCAGATTAGTATGGGAATACTTAAAATAAATTCAGGAATAGCAGCCAGTAATTTGTTTCTGACATTTAACCATTTCCCCCCCTAAATCTCTTTAGTTTTCTACATATCTCTAGTGCTTGGCAATATTAAGAAGAAAGCCTGAGTCATTCTGTAACAATCTTTCACACTGACTCTCCTGTTAATAGAAAGATAGGTTCTAAGCAGAAGCATTACTGTGAAACCCACAGGTTTCAGAGAGAGCATGGCCCTGCCAACACATCAATTTCAAACTTCTAGTCTCCTAAACTATAAGACAATAATATTTTATTTTAAGCCACCCAGTTTGCACTATTTTGTTATAACAGTCCAAGGAATTTAATGCAGATGTACCATTTACCACAGTCCTGTATTACTGGATTATTTTGAGTAGTGACTTAAAACTAGTATTTGGAAAAGATTTTTAAATGAATGGACACATTAATCAGATCTCTTCTGACAAAGAAAAATGTTCTACATTTCACTGTGGGAACAGTGACTTTGGTAATCTTCTTATATTATTAAAATACTAAGAATATGGGCATCACTAGAGGCTTTGTATATATTTGTGGATAAATTAGAAAATACATATAGGATTTTGAATTGATCAGATACAAGTACACACAAAACTAAATAAAATTTTTATTTTAAAACTTCACAAATAATTACACGTTAAATGTCCCAACTACACAAACTATTACATATGTATATGCATGTATGCACATATATATATATACACGTAGTTAAAGTTTGGTTCATCTTTCATCTTTTTATCTGAGTAAAAAGAAGAACACTTTCCTCATTCAGGAGATTTTTGATGTTGTAATAATTACCTAGAAGCAAGTTGATAAGAAAATAAAATTAAAAATTATTTCCATAAGATTATTTCCTTTTGATTAAATGTTTAGCCATCACTAAGGCAATTAAAGTATATAGTACCAAAAATCAATTCATCCAATCCAAAGTTATATCTTATTTAATTCCATTAATTGAAAAATCCAAGAGTTTACCACCACCTGTGATTCATATAAGGCTTGAATGAATGTAAATTCCACATCATTTTGATAATGAACACAAAGATAAATTAGACAAGGATGAATGCAGGAAAAAAATCTCTCTGAACCCAATGGTTATTAGGGACTTTGGAACTGCTGTGGATTCCCTTAAACTAGAACACAGTAAGTATAAAAAGTAAAATATTACGTAAAATAAAATCTCAAAGTTCAAAAATGGCAAATGCCCCCTGGCTGGTTTGGCTCAGCAGTTATAGCACTGGTTCGATTCCTGCTCAAGGGCATGTACCTGGGTTGCAGATATAATCCCTGGCCCTGGTAAGGGTCATACGGGGGGGAGGGGGGGGTAACCAGTCAATGTATCTCTCGCACATCAATGTTTCTCTCTCTCTCTCTCTCTCTCTCTCTCTTTCTCTCTCTCTCCCCCCCACCCCCCTTCACTCTATCTAAAGAGCAATAAAAAATATCCTCAGGAGAGGATTTAAAAAAAAAAGGCAAATGCTACTCTTGAATAAATTAATAACAGCAAAAGTGAGATACAGACTAACAGTACACAAGGCAGATTTATAGAACTGCATACCATGCTGTGACTTTCTATATATTAGAAATTGATACATATTAAAATTAGCTGAGTTAATAAAAGCAAAGTGTTCATAACTGCTGACACACAAAAGACTACACAAACACAGCTACTATTGTTGTCTCCTTTCATTAGAATGTAACCTTGATAAGGGCAGGGATTTTTGCCTGTTTTGTTATATACCCCACATTCTTAGAGCAATGCTTGATAGACTCTTAATCTCATTTGTTGAATGAATGAATTAATTAATTAATTAATTAATTAATTAAAATCCCTATTTCCAAAGACTTCTGTTCTTCAATAGCTGATGAAGCATACTATATTATATTACCTACTAAAAATTGTTTGACTATATAATGTCTTAGAGATAACACAAGGGAAACAATTTTCCCTCTACTGTGGATACAAATTTTCTAACTAAATATTTTTATATTCAGCAATAAACTAAACAACTCTTGTTCAATTTTCATGTATCAGAACACTAATATACTTACCTAATGACAAAATTTTAAAAAATATATATGTACCAAACTTTGGCATCAGTCACATCCCACTTCATTTTGACCACTGTAGCTTCCATTTATATGATGCTCATGAGCAACTATATAAATATTTAACCATGTGAAAGAAAATTACTTTAATTATTCTTACCTGAAGGAACATAGAATGAATCCCCAGTTGTTATTACATAAGGTGTTTCGTGTAAGGTACATAAAAGGTCACCAAAGTTAACATAAAAAACCTGTAAAATTAAAAATTAAAATGTCATTTCAAATTGAACGATCACAACTATACTCCAAAGAAACTTTCAAAAAATGTAGTAGGCAGAATAACTGCTTTCAAAATATGTCCATGTGCTAGTCTCTGTAATTTGTTAAAGTATATGGCAAAAGGGACCTCAAAATGGGGAAATTATCCTGGATTATCTATGGGTCCCATCTAATAACATAAGCCCTTAAAAATGGAGAATTTCTCCTGCTGGAAGCAAAAGAGAGATGAAGCCGAGGAGAAGTCAAAGAAATTCAAAACATGAGGAGATCTGTGGTGTTTCCAGCACATAAGAAAAGAGGTTCATGAGCCAAGGAAGGTAGCCTACTTCTAAAAGCTGAGAATATTTTGGCCAATAGCCAGTGAGAAAAAGGAAACCACAGTCCCACAACCACATGGAACCAAACTCTGCCAGCAACCTGAGTGAACTTAAAAGAAGATTCATCCTAAGAGCCTCCAGAGAGAAATACAGATCTCTCAACAACTTGGTTCCAGCCTTGTGACACGCTACACAGAGTACTCAGCCAAGCCCACCAAACTTCTACATTTTGAGTCACTAGATTTGTGGTAATTTGTTAAAGTGGCAAAAAAAAAAACCACAGTAAAAATGTCATTCTCCCTTATTTACTGGCTTATGAAAATTTAAAACTCCTATAAAGAATACCACTGAGCTATACTAGAAAAATAGGTATTATGTAACTTCTTTTAAAGTTACACGCTTGGGACATGTAACTAATCTGACTAATAAATCAAAGAGAGAACAAAAAGCAAAAAATAAAAATAAATAAAATCATACATTTAAACAAGCATTAACATTAAGAAAATTAAAAAGAAAATCTAACTCTTGGTCATACAGACTTCCATATTCAAACAGGCAAATTTTATATTTCAGACACAGAAAGTACCTAGCAATGATCTGTTTTGGGGGGGAAATAAATAAAAAGTATAAGGCCTTCAAACATTGAGACTCAAATTTTAAGACCCAGCCATCAAGTATATTTTGCCATAGAAAATTATTCCTCCTCCTCCCTCCTTCTTCTTTTCCTTCTTCCTATTTTTTTCTTACCATTTTGGGAAATGAACCTAAAATACCAGAAAAACAATAGCAGGTAGTAGCTAGCACCTATATAGCCGATACATTACACCAGCCACTGTTCTGAGCACTTTATTTTTATTCCTTTAATGTTTGTACCTACCAGTGAGACCAGTACTATTTTAATAGCTTTTCACAGATGAGGTAAATGAGGCTCAAAGTGGTGTAACTTTCCAAGATCACAATGTAAATGGCAGAGTTGGATTTGAACTCAGGCACTGAAGATTCCTAAAGTCATGTTCTTAACGACTACATATACTAATTCTTTAAGTGGGAAAAAAAAAACTCTTGAAGTGGTTCTCAAGGTACTTTTATAATTTAATAAAAAAGTATTTTTTATTTTCTCTAAAAATACTCTGCCTCAATTTAAAAGACAAAGGTAACAAACAACATGATCTTGAAAGTCAAGCATATATTTCTAGGTGTTTTTTCCTTCTTTTTTTTTTTTTTATCCTCACCCGAGGACATTTTTTGTTCAGGTAGAGTGGGAGGGAGAGAGAGGGAGAGAGAGAGAGAGAGAGAGAGAGAGAAACATCGATGTGAAAGGGACACATCGAGTGGCTGCCATCCGCACGACCGACCAGGGCCGGGGACAAACTGCAACCAAGGTACATGCCCTTAGCGGAAACCGAACCCGGGTCTCTCAGGACCGCAGGCTGATGCTCTAACCGCTGAGCCAAACCGGCCAGGGCTGTTTTTTCCTTCTTTATTCACTTTGGCTCTCTAAGCACACCACTCCTCATTTTTGCAAACAGTTTACTAAGAAGGCTTTTGAAAAACATAGAATAATGGACTCCCATGAATATCTAATACCAACACCAACCCTACTCAGTCTACTTTCTCCATTCTATATTATTTTGAAATGCCCAGCCTTATAAATCATTCATAAATATTTTGTGATTTTATAAAATATGACCACAACACTGCCATCATACCTAAAAATAAATATTTCATATCAAATACCCAGTCAGTATTCAAATTTCCAATTATCTCTTAAATGTTATATTTTTAAGGTTTTGTTTACACTGGGATCCAAGTGTCTTAAATTATTCAATCTATAGTAGTTCTCAATTTGGGCATGATTTGCCCCTAAAGGAACAATTGGCAATTTCTGGGGACACTTTTGATACTCACAGCTAGAAGGGTACTACTGGAATCAATTGGGTAGAGGCCAGGGATGCTTCTAAACATCCTACAATGCACAGGATAGCAACCCCCCCCCACCCCCCCCCCCACACACACACACTCTCCAAAGAATTATCCAGTCCAAATGTGAATAATGGTTGAGGGAACCTGGATTATAGGTTTCTCCTGGTTCTTTTTTAATCCTTGCAGCTTACTTATTAAAGAAATAAAACAGCAAACTGTGTTATAAAAAAATCTTTGCAGAGCTGATTTTGCTGATTACAACCTCAGAGTGTCATTTGAAAGGTCCACCATACTTTATTTCCTGTAAATGAGTAGATCTAGAGACTTACCAAATTCAGATTTTGTTTGTTTGTTTGTTAAGGAGGTGGGGCAAGCAAGACTACTTCATAGATATTGTATTCTTCCACCAGAAAGCACATACATCTCGTGTATTCTTTTGAGATGTTAGCAGACATTGATGATCAATGACTAAATCCAACAGTTTCTCAGGGGTGGCAAATTGGTACTATTTCTTTCTAACATTCCATCTTCATTTATTACTTGAAATGTTTCTAACAAGGACAAACTTCCCCTCATTAATTTGGTTAACTAATAGTACAGTTTATATGAGAAAGGCAAAATAAATGTTTAATTATTTCCCTTTATTTTTCTTTTTTTCATATGTGGGATATAAAACTGAAAGTCATAAACACATACAGCAGTGTGGTGGTTGCAGAAGGAAGGGGTTTGGGGATGGGGGATGAAGGGGGTCCTAATACATGGTGACTCTGGGTGGTGGGCATACAGTGCAATATACAGATCTTGTAACATAAAAATCCACACCTGAAACCTTTATGATCCTATTAACCAACAAAATTTAATAAATTTAAAAACATAAAAAAAAATTGTTTTAATTTTAAATAGATTTTTAGAGAGACAGGAAGAGGAGGAGAGAAAGAGGGAGAGAGAGAGAAACATCAATTGGCTGCCTCCTGCACGCCCCCTACCAGGGATCAAGCCCGCAATCCAGGCATGTACCCTGACTGGAAATTGAACCAACAACCTGTTTTTGGTGCATGGGACAATGCCCAAACAACTGAGCCAAAGCAACCAGGGCTATTTCCCCTTTATTTACCATACTTGTCAAAAAGAGTTGCCCTGGCTGGTTTGGCTCAGTGATTAGAGTGCCAGCCCACAGACCAGAGAGACCCGGGTTTGGTTCCCACTAGAAGCAGTTTGTCCCCGGCCCCGGCTGGGGTTGTGTGGGTGGCTGCCAGTCGATGTGTCTCTCACATCAACGTTTCTCTCTCTCTCTTCCTCCCTCTGTCCCTCCCACTCTATTTGAAGATAAATGCGCCCTGGCCGGTTTGGCTCAGCGGTTAGAGCGTCGGCCTGAGGTCCTGAGAGACCCGGGTTCGGTTCCCGCTAAGGGCGCGTACCTCAGTTGCAGTTTGTCCTTGGCCCTGGTCGGTCGTGCGGGTGGCAGCCACTTGATGTGTTCCTTTCACATCGATGTTTCTCTCTCTCTCTCTCTGTTCCTCTCTCTTCCTCCCACTCTACCTGAACAAAAAAAATGGGAAAATGTCCTCGGGTGAGGATAAAAAAAAGAAGATAAATGCAAAAACATGTACCGAGTGAGGATGAAAATAAAAAAAAAAGGAATTGGATTCCTAGATGTCTCCAACAGTGAAATCACCTCTACCCACTCAATTCCAGTAGTATCCCTCTAGTTTTTCTTTTTGTGGTAGCTTTACAAATTCATGGATTTGGATAATTGATGTGTATCAATCCACTGAAGTTATTGGTGTTTTGGGGTTTTTTTTTATTTATTTCATTTTTTATTTTTCAATAACAGTTGACATACATTATTATATTCGTTTCAGGTGTACACCCCAGTGATTATACATTACATAACTAAGTGATCATCCTGATAAATCTTGCACCCATCTGACACATACATAATTATTAGAATATTATTGAGTATATTCTCTATGCTGTACTTGACATCCCCATGACTATAACTACCAATTTGTACTTCTTAATCCCTTCACCTTTTTCACCCATTCCCCTATCCCCCTCCCATCAGGCTACTGTCAAAATATACTCTGTTATCCATGAGTCTGTTTCTGTTCTCTTGTTCATTTATGTTGTTTTTAGACTCAAATGATGATAGATATGCATTTATTGTTCTTATTTTTTATCTTTTTTTTCCCTTCTTCTACTTAAAGAAGGCCTTCTGACATTTCAAAGAATACTGGTTTGGTGATGATGAACTCCTTTCACTTTTTCTTGTTTGAGAAGCTCTTTATTTGTCCTTTGATTCTAAATGGCAGCTTTGCTGAGTAGAGTAATCTTGATAGTAGGTCCTTGCTTTTCTCTTACTGCTTTTAAAATTCTTTGTCTGTAACCTTTTGCAATTTAATTATGATGTGTCTTGGTGTGGGCCTCGTTGGATTCATATTGTTTGGGACTCTCTGCATTTCCTAAACTTGTATGTCTATTTCTTTCACCAGGTGAGAAAGTTTTCCATCATAAATTTTTCAAATAGGTTTTCAATTTCTTGTTCTCTCTCTCTTCTCCTTGCACAATCATAATGCAAATGTTGGTACAGTTGAAGTTCTTCCAGAGTCTCCTTATGTTATCCTTGTTTTTTTATCCTTTTTTTCTTTCTGCTTTCCTGATAGTGTTTTTTGCTTCCTTATATTCCAAATTATTGATTTGATTCTCAACGTCATCTACTCTACTGCTGATTC